AGCACAGAGATGCTCTTGAAGGGTGATGGAGAAACATGCTCCGGTGGCATCTTGTAAATGGCCTAAAAAGATCACAATGATCTCTTACAGGTAGCCAAAGTGAAGGTGCTTGTGGCATCATCACTGGTAGCAACTTATCCTAATTTATCCAAAATTGTTCCTTGTCATGGGGTCTTAACAGTGTCACTTCATCATGAGTTGGTTGTGCAGGTTTAGTTAAAAAAAAAGTTTTAGTTAAAAGCCAGAGATCTGCATGAATGGTGCAGGAGACAAAGCATCTAAAAGTGAACAGAGTTTGCACAGGGCTTTTGCTGAAATGAAAAACCTGAGGTTTTGCTGAAAGAGGAACATCCTACACCAATTTACTTGCCTTTAGTGGTAACAAATGGAAGGGGCTTCATGACTGGAAGCCTGTACATCTCTGTGAAATCAGAAGCATAGTTTATTCCTCTCTGATTATATATATATTTATTTTTTTTCCAGAAGACCTACAAATCCATGGGGAATTTAGGTTTTATACCAGGGTTCGTTTCTAACATAATTGGAGACTGTTGATCTACGTGTGCAATGCTGTGGTCAATACAGTTTTTAGTGTTAAGAGCACTTAATACTTCCTTGGCAGGAGGAGCTCTACTCATATTAACTCAGGAACTGGGTGACTATCGTATTGATGGTGAATGTGAGTATGGGATTGTGACCGGTTGTGGCTCATGGACAAAGTCTGAGCTGGAATGAGAATCTGGGACTTTTTAATTCTTTGTCTGTGATTCCACAATAATTTAAGGTTGCCAAAGCCTTGCAGCTGTGGTTTCTTGCTGCTGAATACCTGTTGAGCAATAAATATAGCATCGTGAAAGCAAGAAAGGCTTTTAAGAGTCTTCTTGGCCAAGCATACACACGTATTACAGGAGGTCTTTAAGCATTTTACAACGTTCATTTGCCAAAGCAAGCCCTGTCTAGGCAGGAGAGAACACCTTAGGCTCATGCGTTCCCATTTGACTGGGTTTTGTGTTCCCAAGCTCATCCTTTTTTTTCATGGTTAAATGCAGAAAAGCATGCGTTGGCATCCTGGGTATACTGAACACTGAATAATTTGCTAGCATAGCCTTGGATGCTGGTGTCAATATGTTTAAAGTCAGTTTTACATCAGATGTCTTGTTTTAAACTCTGGCTTATTCCACTTTGTCAACCAAAGAGCTGATTTCATGGATGATTTTCTTCACCTGTATCTTCTAAGAAATAAAGTTAAGATGTGTTGATCTCTTGTTGAGACCTGTTGGCTCAAAGGCCTTTTTGGGGTTTTAAGTTCAGAGGAAAACTAAAATTCCCTTAAAGAGGAAGATGAGCAGGCCCTGCCTGGCAGGAAAGAGGAAGGGTAGGCTGGAAATCTCTACTCTGCCCTGGTGAGACCGCATCTGGAATATTGTGTCCAGTTCTGGGCCCTCAGTTCAAGAAGGACAGGAACTGCTGGAGAGAGTCCAGCGTAGGGCTACAAAGATGATGGAGGGAGTGGAGCATCTCCCTTCTGAGGAGCGGCTGAGGGAGCTGGGGCTCTTTAGTTTGCAGAAGAGGAGACTGAGGGGAGACCTCATTCATGTTTATCAATATTTAAAGGGTGAGTGTCATGAGGATGGAGCCAGGCTCTTCTCGGTGACAAACAATGATAGGACAAGGGGTAACGGACACAAAGTGGAACACAGGAGGTTCCACTGAAATTGGAGAAGAAACTTCTTCTCAGTGAGGGTGACAGAGCACTGGCCCAGGCTGCCCAGGGAGGTTGTGGAGTCTCCTTCTCTGCAGACATTCAAAACCCGTCTGGACGCCTTCCTGTGTAACCTCATCTGGTGTTCCTGCTCCGGCAGGGGGATTGGACTGGATGAGCTTTGGAGGTCCCTTCCAATCCCTGACGTTCTGTGATTCTGTGAAATGTTGTAGGGAGGCACTGAGAGGAGTGGAAAGCTGCAGACAAGCCCAAGGCACTGAGATCTGCTGGACTCTTGTCCCTCAAGGCTTTTGATGATGTGTTTTGGGTTAATGGATCATTCACTTCTCTGGAAAAAGTTGTTCAGCTGCCATCAGTCACTGGTCACAAGTTCCTGCAGAAAAGTGCTGTGTGAGGTCGGGTGGCTGGTGAGTTTAACAGAGCTGTGAGGAGGAGGAGGAGAAGGGGAACCTCAAGATATGATCTTAGAAGTTATGATCTTGAGTTTTGTAGAGTGAGCACCAGAGCCCCTCAGCTGAGGGCTGGGCTGCTGAGGAGCCACACAGCGATGGAGAGACATGGAGAGAGCTATGGATGGAGAAAACACGTGTGTATCCTGGAGGGTTTGTTTAAGGAGGCCGGTCCATGGGGATCCAGCCCAGGAGAAGGGCAGGTGGAGGCTTCTTAGCTGGAGAAACGGGAGGAGAGAGATCACAGATGCCATTAATCTCTGCACGTTTAGTCTATCCAGACTTGAAGCTGCTTTTTGAGTCAGCAGTCCTTGCAGAACTTAGCAGGAAAGTGGCGAGAAACCACGTCCTCCTGGATATCTCCAGCAGCGTAGCTTATTTAGCCCAGCTGGCATGTTTGTGTAGACCTGGCCTTGGACACCAGTAGCCGTGGCTCTGTCCTGGTTTCCCATGTTTACCTCCGAGCTGCAGAGTCAGCAGGATCCACCTGCCCTTGTGCCGAGGCGCTTTGCTGCAGGTGCCTCCTTCCTCTCCTTCCCACGCCTGTGAGCTGTTCCTAAGGGCAGTTGTCATCCTCCCCTTACAGGCTCTGTCCCCTTAAACAGGCAAAACAATACCTACACTAAGCTCATGTGGAAAGGCAGCTGATTGGTATCAAAATCCGCTAGCTTAATCATCCTACTACAAGAATTAGCGTGAAATATTGATGAGCAAATGCAGTGGCAGCGCCGCTTCTTGCTATTAAAGCCAGGAGTGAAGCAACTATTGCTTAATGTAGAGTGAGTGAGGTTAAAGATGCTTCAAACAGGAGGTGTGTTCCTGTGTGTGCATGCTGGCTTTCCTGGTGCTCCTTCTGGAGTAAAAGGAGTGTGGATTAAATACACACATGATGGACAAATACATACACACTAGCTCAGTTTCAGGCTGAAGAGTGGATTCTAGGGGAGCCCAAATTTATGCACTAAAACAGGTGGTGGGGTCCAAAATAATCTCAGTTGATTGCTCCAACATTTGGGGGTGAACTCCAGAGAACATTGGTTTACTGGACGCATGTGCTGCAGAAACCAGACTTGGGCAGTGGTGAGTTTGGGCTTGAATCAGTCCTGGTGAAAGTACAGCCTTGCTGGGCCTGACTGAGAGCAGACTTGCCATGAAAAGTCCTCCCATCGTCGTGACTCGCCTGGCATTCAAGGCCTGAGCTCTTGCTGTGGGAATTTTATCCTCATCATACACACAAAACAGGACTGGGATACAACCGTGAGGGCTGCTTGTCTTCTGCCATCTAGGGATGTACATCTTCAGAGACCTACAAACAGCCGTGCCTTTTCTCTGTGTGTATTGGAGAGATCCTGTACTTACCCTAAAAATCCTGCTTAGGATCCCGCTGCAAGGAAATCCAACCTTCAGTTTGTTTCTGTGGCTTTTCTCGCTATCCGTAGGTCTAACAACATTTCTGTGCTCACCGTGGAGCTGCGCAGTGGAGCCAGTCGTGTTCGAAAAGTGATCACAGACTTTCACTTTGGACAAAATCCCTTTTCTGTGAGGAAACGTGAAATCTTAGCACTTCCTACCCATGGGGAAATCCCTGCGTACGCACGCTAGGGGTTTTTTGAAAGCAAATTGAAGCTGAAGCGTGGGGTTTTGGGGATCCTGGGGTGCAGGAGCCTCGTGGGTTTGCTGCGCAGTGCGGCTCCACGGCCCTGAAGTCGCTCGTGGTGGAAGCCCTCGCTTTGCAGCAACCTGACAGCTGAACCGGTAGTGAACCGGGCAGGGTTTGTTAAAACTGCTGCCTGACATCAGCGGAATTATTTGTCACTGCCTTTCTGTGAAATGTTCTTGTTTCAGTGAATCAGCATTTCCTCATTCACAAGAGGACTCCTGAAAACTGAGGCTTGTTCGGCTTGTGAATGCTTTTGAAGAGAATTTAAAACTGTTGGGTTACACAGGACAAAATGAGCTTTGAATTTTTGAATATTTTATTATTTTTTTTTTGAAAGAGAAACGTGGCGATATCAAAATGGGACAGCACAGGGCCTGCACTGTGTAAGTGAGCTGAATTACATCATTTCTCAGTGACTGGCTGGTGCTTTGCTAGGCAGCCTGTCCAGAGCAGGGCTGTGACAATCGCTCTCCGATTTGAATGTTTTCTAGCAGGTGTAGTTCATTTTCTGGGGTTTAAATTATTTAGGTTCGTGCATTAAATACGGAACTCCATTAAGAGTGCGGAAAACTCCAATTTCTCCTGGAAATACAACTTTAAATGATCGCCCCTTCTCTATGGCTTAATGTAATTGGGTGTTGAGGTGATAGCGGCACGTGACAGTTGGCTGTTGTGATTTCTAGGGAACATTTATGCTCTTTTGTTTGGGCTTTTTGGCTGATAATCAAATGTGGTAAATGAGCAAGAAGATAGGGCCAAAAATATCGACGCCTTGTTTGATCCCAACAGTTTTGCTGGTTGTAGAGTTTGGGAAAAGTGAGTTTGGACGTGAGTGGACATGTGATGGTGGGAGGCAAGCTGGGAAACCAGTGCTACCCTGGACTTGCAGGGTCTTTGCTGGCGCAGGGACATGGCCTTTCTGGGCTGGTTTAGTCCAGGGTTTCTGCTCAGTTTGCATTTTTTCTGCAAACTGAGGATGGCCTCTTGAAGCAGATGTTACTCAGTCGTGCGTTGTTCCTTCCCATCCTTGAGCTCCTTCAAGGAGCCTTTACACACAACTTTTCAGTTCCTAACCACCGCTGTTTTTTGAAAATAAAGTACTTGACATCGTATATGAACGGCCTAATGTATTTGTGTGCCCGCCTTTGTCCCCTCCCTGTTCTGTCCTACAGGTAATTAAATGTCCTGAGCGTGGATCTTTGCTCTGTTGGCATGCTTGGATGCACAGCAGCTCTTCACACAGCTTCTTTTCGTCTGCCCCACTGCAAGAAGATGGCAAAAGCGAACATTACCAGGGACATCATCCACAGACAGATCAAGGTACGTGTTAGCCAAGTGTTCGCTTGCGTTGGGTGGAGAGCAGATGGAGAACCGGCGTTCACGCTGGATTGGGAAATACTCGTGTTGTCGCCTTTACTTCTGAAAAGATCTCTGCTACTTACGCGTTGATAAGCTGTATAAGAAGCTTAAGAGAACAAACACATAGGACCTATCGCTGTCCTTAATGAAGAGCTGGGATGAAGTCTGCCATAACAGGAATGCAGTTCCTCTCCCTAGCAGGAGCACCCCGTGCTAGTTTGACATCAGCAGGTCTGTTCCTTTTGAGCATGATGTTAAAGAGAGAAATCTAGCTACTTGTGTTTGGGCACCACAAAGGACCCTTAGCTGGCTTCCCTCATGAGTTTTCTGTCTGCTGCTTTATGTCTTCTAGTCGTGTGATCTTGCCATCAAAGGTATTTTCTGACTGTAGTAAAGCTAATGATCTCTGTCTCAGTCTCTTTCTGTCTCTTTTTCTGTGAAGAGTGATGTGTTGCTTC